ATAAAAATAATAATTATACGCATTATCAACAAAATAATAATACGCATTTTTATGGAAATATTATTCCATGCGTATACATAATATTAATTGAGATATATTAAGTATACGCCATATCTACCATGCATTTCAATTGAAATAAATGATTATTTTTAATGGCAGCAATTTTCAATCCAGTTGTATTTTATTTCTTTGCTATTCCTTGTAATATTTCAATGTTGTTGTTGTTTGGATTTTCTTTTCTTCCGACAAACAAAGGCTTAACTGTTACACCCATACAATTCGTCTTTATTTGCATATTTGATATTGATGAGGCGTTTATCATAGCTCATCCTTTCCCGGTGGTTAACATATGAACCCTTTCAATGTCATACCACTCTTGAAATATGTTTCAAAAAAAAAATTTCAAATCCTTTGATATCAAACACTTCACAAAAAAGTTCTCTTTGGTTTTTTGGTAATACCATACAAAGGGTAGAGTTAGATGAAACTTTGCCAGCTGTTATTTTAATCTGGCAAAAAGTTTTTTGTTCTTCTTTTCCCTTTCACATGGAAAACAAAACCATCAAGAATATGGATTAGTAGTAGTAGTGTTGTGGCAATGGCAATCGCTCGTTTGCAGCTCTGTTTTTCTCCTCTTCTTCTTATTGGGTTGGCTCACAAACCACAAAGTGTTTGTGGTTTTCATTTCAAGTTTTAAAGTTTATTTATATTTCTGTTGTTTTATTTGCCAACGAAATTCAATACGCTTACCACACCAAATACACGCACATACACACACATACCAACACAATCAACAGACAAAAGCCATAAAGTTGAATTCTTTGAAAAGGAAGTCATTTAAATGAGAATACAAAATGGTTTCTTTTTTGAAAAAAAAAACATCTTTTATGTTTTATTTTGAGAAGAAGAAAAAAAATCCCATTATTAAAAACTATTTTGTAAACTAGTCTTGAAGAAAAATGCAAATTTGTGATTTAATTAAATTGAATAGGAATGATAAACTATTCAAGGAGAAAATAATGCTGATGGATGAAACAATGAGTGTTCGGAATTGTAAAACAAGAGAACACAGTAATCTTTTGATATTTAAATTGAAAATCAAATAAAAATATTTTTCAATATTGAAAACAAAACAAAGGAAGTAAGGATAGTTCAAAAGTCGGACGAGGCCGACTATATAATACCCTTCACCACTTTGGGTACATACAAGAGATGATAATATATAAAATATCCTATAGATAGAACAGACATATCATCTTTAGCGGACATTTGATATGAAGTCGGGCGAAATAAAATTTGTGATCTATTAAAAACGCCATGCACATACCATTCTCATACCTGTTCCACAATCGATTAATCGATTCGCAAACTGTTGAGACGACTAAATAAGATTAAACTAGGATTCAAAAAATAAAAAATACGTATTCAAGAAGTCCAAAATATTTTTCTGAATATTTTGCTGTAGAGAAAGTTATTTTTGAGCTTTGAAAAAATCAAGAATTGGGAGAGCTGTAAAAAGGTCAATAACTTCGAGATTAGGAGTTGTGTTTCAGAAAACTAATTCAAAAATGTTCCGTTAAAATTTCAAAAACATTTGAAGGTATTGTTGTATTTGCCCCCACCCATAATCGTTGTCTACTTGAGAAATATTTCTTTAGATACGCCCATAGGCGTGGTTTATTTAAATAACATTTCTTAAGATCCATTTCTCAACCTCCACTCATTACAGACGTGACATATATTTCTCAAGTTCCGCATATTGGCATATCTATTACAAAGGCCGTGATTTAATACTTAAACACATAGGCGGGCTTTGATTTGAAACTATCATTAAATATATTCAAACCTAGATGTGGATTTTTAAAACTTTTTTAAAGACAGCTTGAAGGTGATCTTTTAAAAATATTTTGCAAAGTTTTTGTTTCCGAAAAATAATATTAGACATGCCATTTAAAATCACGTTTCCACTTATCCTTGTATTACTTTGAACCAATTGACAGCAAACGATCTTGTAATGAAAACTCATTGTGCTGAAAATCAAGATATTCGAAAAATACCACTAAACGCATTCGAAACCAAATACTGTCCACTAATCGGCCAGAAAAAAATAGCCCCCACACTTTTCACAACAAAAAAGAAAGACAAGCACTAAACGAGGACAACAAAATAAAAACAACACTTTCGTTTCATCCACAAGGCAAACTCACACGCACACACACACCCACCGTTACCTACATATGTCATTGTCATCTCGTGCAATGCCGTTAACTGGCATCGTTCTGTCACGTGTATACTTCTGTTGTAAGTAAACCGATCAAGTGGCTGTGTAATGACACGGCTCAAGTGCCATGATGACATCTACTCACTGTGAAGACAATAACACAAGGACCAGAGACGGACGAAATAGAAGACACATCTTGGAAACCTCCACAACATATGTCGATGGGCACTAGCCCTCTGGCAAACTGTTGTTAGGTGGGTGTGAGTGTCTACGTGAGTGTGTTTGGGTTTGTGACTGCCAGCAAAAGGAAGACCTTGAAGGAAATTGTCATTTAAGTCCTTCATATTTTTCTACAACTGCTGCTGCTGGTACTACTACTAAGCTATGATTACGTTTTTGTTGTTTGGTTGTTGTTATTTTTTTGTCATTTAACGAAAACGACTAGGCAAAAGCAAGAAGACAATGTCATTGACAACCACTACACATGAGTGAGTGAGTAGGTGAGCGAGATACCAAATAGAGGCACTCGTATGCATGAAATGCAGTTAATAATTTTTTTCCTCTCAAGTTCTACAACTAGCCAACAATTGTTTGATATCCTTGAAAGCCGTAGAAAGGAAAGATAAAAGTTTCCGCTTGTAACAAGCATGGATGGCGGGGAACTATGACAAGGATGCAATGCAATTCAATTAAAAAATATATTTATTAAAAAGTTTACATGCGTTTATATGAGAAGCAGGACAGTACAGAAAAAGATCGCTAGATAGCGTTGACCTTAAGTGCGGAAATGAACACAACCAAAAATTAGATATTTGGTTGCATAAGTCATAGTTAAGATTTCTAGGCATATATATAACTAGTTTATAGCCACCTTTATAACAAAACTCTAATTTTTTGCCACTATCCTAAATATAATTAAAAAAAAAACCATGAGAAAAAAATTACTTTATTCCATCCTCTGCCTCTCTGAAAGGACATTATTAATAATCTCAAATAAAATAAAAAATATAATTTAAAGACTATTAAGTCCTCCCCACTCCCCTAACTTATTTCCTCATTGGCACAAAGACAACCGCCTAAAATGGTGTACTTAAACTGTAAAAGTGGAGTGGCCAAACAACCGTCATTGGTCTGCTAGTTCGCCATTATCCTCGAAAAAATGGTCATTAGAAAGCAAAATGTTGTCTTTGATGTGATGATGATGATGATGACTGGCACTAACGTTTATGCTGTCTGTCTGTTGTATGTGAGAGTGGGTGTATAAAGACAAATAAGCAAAAAAAAACTAAAGGACTTTTTAAGCGACTTATTATTTACACTCTTTTGAAATAAATGAAATTAAACTACAGTCAATTGAAGTGACCTTAAATGCTTTGAACTAAAATGTGGCAATTTACTCTCTTACTTTTAATGATTATTGATATATTTTATTTAAAATTTTAGAAAAAATTTAATTTCTGTTTCAATAACATGATAAATATAAATATATTTAATGCTATTAACAGCAAACAAAATAAGTGTCAGGCTTTAACTTTGAGAGACAAGTAGTATCACCAAATCGAAAAGTGGCTACCCTATTTCGCCAATGGTCTCACGAATTCTATTTTTGAAGTCTTGAACCAAACAGTCACACTTTGAGGATGGAGAAGATTCCCAAAAATAACTCTAGGGTTTTCCGAAGTAAATACTTTAAGTTGGGCCTCGCTGTAACTAAAATCAGTCGAACATCAATATGGAAACTATGGAAATATGACTAATTAAATCACATTGGTTGGAAAATATGTGTAGGACCCATCAAGTCCCTAACATTATACAGGACATTAGATGTGTCTATTTCTAGAAAACTTGGCACTCGTTAGGCTATTCTAACATTATTACGTCGAGCAAAATTTTGTGCCAATAGACATAAATTTTATCTCTTTGGTACAGCATTTATATAACATCTGACGAACATATGTATGGAAGATGTATCTAAATCTGAACCGATTTTCCCCCATTTCAATAGGTTACTTTTATGGGGCAAATAAATGATTTGTGCCAAATTTCATCCCATTCGGATAATAAATGCGACCTGCACTTTGTATACAATTTAACATGGACAGACGGACATGCAAGAATCGACTCAGAAAGTGATACTATGCATATTCTCAAATGGAACCGCGGGTCTATCTCTGCGGGTCTATCTCTGCAGACCGCGGGTCTGCCTGTTACAAACATATGCACAAATATATAATACCCTGTACCACAGTTTGGTAAAGGATATAAGGAGCTAATCCGGTGATTCGTCACATGTTATTCCAGCCTCAATTTGGTCGACTTGTAAATTTATGTAGCGTCATTGGTATACATGAAATCAGATGAAACTATATACAGAAGATAACTTTCTATGTTTAGGGTTTCTCACCGATTTAGAAATCTGTATCGCCACAATGAACTATAGTCACATCCAATGTCAGCACGTTTGAATTGTATTCATTTTCTCTCACAATTTTTTTTTCATTTTGTAAAACCTCCCAGAATAAATATGGATTAGAATCGCAATTAACTTTTTACAACCCAAAAGAGTCCTTTACTTTCAAATTTTCAAAAATTATTGTTAAAATTTCTTGCAGAAATATTTTATCGCTACTCAATACTACGACTGAAAAGTCTTAGGAAATAACTATTCTTCCTTTATATTATAAATTGTATTTAACAATATTAAACTGTAATTACAACTAAACTAATTTAATTTTATTTTATCCTCCCTTTTTTCTCTTGGCATCCATCACCAAAACAGCTGGTTTCCAGTAATCCAAATCAACGGAATTGGCGTGGGATACTTATTGCCTTGCTGGTCATAACAATAGTTTTAGCTTTAATTGTAACATCTGTGGTGAGTATGGCAAACAATGGTTTATTTTTATTTTTGGAAAATCCCCATCACATTGCAACAAACCACCTCCCCCCTATACACAAGCCTTGGTTTCCGTCACGGAATGTCTCAAAATCACAACGAAAAATCCACACAACCCAAATACCCCTCACTGAAAAATCCCCAGAAAAAAAATAACAAACAACTAAGAAAAAATGAATTGGATATCGAACGTAAAAGAAATGTTTTGACATACATAACTGCATGTCAATCGTGTGTCACAACATTAAGATCGGTCGAAAACATAAATAAACTTGAGAAAAAAGCCTAATCAAAATATATGTATAAATGAAGATTAAAAAATAAGCAAAACAGAATCCTTTACTTTTTGGTCGTAAACTTTATGTGTGCCTTTTTTGTCTTTTTTCCTTTTTTCTTGTTGTTTCTTTGTAATGTAACTCTGTATGTGGATGTAATTGTAATTGTACATGTGTGTGTGTGCGTGCGTGTGTAATCTTAAATTATTTCCGGTTGCCGGTTTTGCGTATGTGTGTGTCTGTGTGTGCGTCGTCATCTCTGCCTGTGTGAATGTTTTCATTTTTGTGTAACATTTTCTTTATTCGTCTTCTTCTTCATTTTTGTTTGTATGTATGTACGATATATAATTCTGAAATTGGTTAAACAAAAAACTTGATTTCATTTGAACTTCTTTTTGTTTGGGATTCCTACTGTGTACATTCTTCTTTATTTTTTTGGGAATCTAATTTTGTTGCTTATCCTTTCGTATCGATGTGTGGCACTTACATTATGTTTTTGTTTATTTTCAATTCTTTCTTTCTTTCTTTCTTCTTTTTTTTGTATCTAACTTTTTCTTAATCCTTTTTTATTATCCGTCTTACAATTGGCGTTGTCGAAAATTGTTGTTCTGTCTTCTGGGTTATTCTACTTCTTCTCCTTTGTGTGTGTTTTTTGTTTTATTTTGTTTGTTTGTATTTCTTTGATTTGTTTGTGTTGTTTTTGTGGATTATGAATAGAAAACATCATATAAAATTCTTGCTTTTATACAAGGTACTGCTCACCCCACCCGACGAGGGTCCTAGAGTCAAAGGCCAGCGTCTCAAGTTACAGGAAATCGTTGATGGCGCATTTATGCCTCAGAAATCCAATGGCACCTGGATAAATGGTAAGTGTAAATCTGTCTTATACCTATATAGCGTTAAATCAATAATAATTTATCACAGAATGAAACCTTTGGACTCATTATTCATTTGTTTATCCATTTTTTGTTTTCATTCAACAGAAGAAGAATTCCTTTATCAGGACCATTGGGGACGCATTTGTCTTTTGAATGTTGCCAATCTAACAGAACGTGTCTTAATGTCAAATGTTACATTTGTAAGTTACTTCCCGACTTGACTTTGTCATTGCCACTTAGACTTGTAGTTGATTTTATTTTTTTATCATTCATCTTCATGAGGAACAAAAATCCATTACCATCGCCCAGTGTTCACACGCATTGATCTAACATAGTCGGTGCCAACGCAACTTCTATGCCCACCATTACAGATATTTATCATTTTATACCCATAACATCATCCATTAAGTCCTGTTCTGTTCATTGTAGCTTCTTTTATGACTTTCCTTAAAAAAAGTATTATTTATATTTACGACTTGTTTTCTACTTTATGTTGAATTCAATTTTTATGTTTGTTGTTATGGATATTTTATGGGATATTTAATAAATTGAAAAGTTTATTTTCTGAATATAGGTTAGGGAGATTTTTTACTGGGTGACTTCATAAATTATTAAACAAAGTCCAACATCGGGAAAAAGGGACATTGTGCATAGGATATATGACGAACTATTTAATAATATCACCATAATTATACATAAATAGAACAAGGAATGATCAGATTTTATAACAAAGATATAAAGATTTTAGGTTATTGAAGTCTCCATATTCATATAGAAACAATAAATTAACAACCGTATCGAATCCGAATTTTGCTTTATCCAGAAATAAATCAAATCGGAGTAAAATTTACTTACTACAAAAAATTGTATACAACAACAGCTTGTCAAATGATAGACGCCAAATTTTTCGCTCCAAGCTGAGAATTTATAAATCAAATATGAGGTTTATAAACGTTTTCATCACAAACATTCTCATACACATTTTCCAGAATATTTCCATTTTATTTCAAATACATGTACATGTACGAACACAAATACATACACACATTCGAGATGACATCAATATTTGACATCCTTCCTTAAAGTTTGTAAGTAAATATTTGAACACTTCTTCCGACTCTTATGACTATACTATATATATGTGGATGTACACATATATATTTTTTCAATTTAACTTTTTAACATTTGTTAAAGTTGTTCTCTTTTTATTTATTGTACACTAACACATATACACACATGAGTACACACACTCACGTAAATGTCATCCTTAACATGTTATTTTTTGCTATTTGGTAATCGTTCATTAAAATATGATAGCTCCCTTTACACATTGTCAATGTAAAGAAAGATGTGAGAGGGTAGAGGAGGGGAAATAAATGAAACCATTGCCAAAAGCAATTTCAATTCTAGTAATATTCTCAGAAATATTAAACAGTAAACTATCGAAGGTAAATCATTAAATAAAAAATAAAGATGCGAAACATAACAAGCTTTATGAATATTTATTAGAGTATTTATATGTTGTAGACAATTTGGACTCTAGAGGTAGGTTCCAAAAAAAATAAAAACAAATATGTTTTTTAATCAGATAACTGATAACATATTGATCGAATTTCCATCTGCGAAGCCTTGGCCAAACGGAATGAGATTGACCCATTTCTTAAACGGATGTTGGCTGGAGATGAGAAATTGATCACATACGATAACCCTGTGCGAAAACGATCGTGGTCAATAACGGTGAAGCGCCTCAAACGGTGGCCAAACCAGGACTAACGGTCAGAAAGGTTCTGCTATGCAATTGGAAGAACTGGAATGGGATTATTCATTATGAGTTGCTTCCATGCGGCCACACGCTAAATTCTGATCTCTACTGTCAACAACTGGACCGTTTGAAGATAGAACTTGACCAAAAACGGCCAGAATTGGACAACAGGAGGCCGCTGGGAGCTTGGTTGGAAAGTTCTTATGCACATTTCTTATACAGTTTGAACTTGGCACCAATTGATTATCATCTTTTTCTTGCATTGCAAAATTTCTGTAATGATAAAAAATTGGTATCTAGGGAGGACAAAAACAAATAGAGTTTTTTGCAAATAGAAACCAGGACTTCTATGAGAGAGACATTATGAAGTTACCTTTAAAATGACAACATATCATACACCCAAAAGACGCATATATGACCCAAATCGGGAATTCCGAAGCATGTTAAATAAAGTCGTATAGTTCATATGAAAATAATGGGATTTTTTCCTAACCTAATATTTTATGTCCGGATAACTAAAAGTACCTATCTATCTTCAAACCGATCTCCATAAAAACCAATAAATTCCTTTGGAATGTAGACTAACAGCGTTTTAGTTTGTGTTTAATTCTGTGTCAAATCATTAATATGCGATTTCGTTAACATTTTTATCGCAGATATGTAAATTTATATTAAGGAGACCTTCATTCTCGATCGAGATTTTTTTTAGATTTTTAAGTGGCTGGCAGTTTTGGAGTTATAGTGCCAGCCATTCGTAAAACACTGTTTCGAGAAAGAATGAAAATGTTTTTATATCGACACTGAATTTTTGTGTTCAAAAGAGAGCCATTTACTTTTTAGATTCCGAGGACTTGCTTGTCACAAAGCAATAGCAATCTTTCATATATTCCTAATTTCTACCACAAAACAAATATTATAATTTCTTTTCGTGAAAAATTCCCAATACATCATTAATATCCAACTCCAATAAATTCGACATGTCATGTAGTAAGCATCCCTATTTTGGTAACCATTGGCACCAATGTACAGCAATCATTCAAAATAACCTAATATCCTGAAATTAGGGAGAATTTTACAAATATATCCTTAAAACGCCAAACACGTTTTCTTTTCATAAAAAATCCTCACAACATCCTTTATATCAACCTCCAATAAAATCGACATGTCATGTAATAAGCCGCCCTATTGTTGGAGTTATTTGCTATTTTAATAAGTTTATTTTACATCAAATCATCCCTCCATTATCTTGCGAACATTAGCATAAATTAGTCAAACACATGCTGGTTTTATCCCACAATTTTTGTTGTTATTAATTTTGTATTGTAGTTTCCGCCTTCCTACACACACATACACGTTCACCCCCAGCCATATCATTCTTTTTTAGCAATTATCTTTCTATTCAATTCATTATGCTACTACTCACCATGATGATTATCATCATTAATATTGTATTTGTTTTCAACCAACTGACTAAGTTGCCTATTTTTGGCAAAAGAAGCATCCTTTATGTCTGATTATGCCACATTGTGGTCTTTCTGTGTCTATTTTCTTCTTCTCACTCTCTCCTTTGTTTGTGTTTTCTTTTTCTTTTCTACATAGAAAACTTTAGCGCCGTATTCATTTAGCATTTCGGCGGATAAACGATATTTGATGGTGTCGCAGAATGTTATCAAATTATTCCGTCACTCATTTTTGGCTCAGTACACACTGTTTGACATTCAAACGAGGTGAGTAGCAACAACAACAAAAGCAACAATGGCAATGTAAAGAACTTCATCAATTACAAGAACAAGCATGCAATGAATGAAATGAAGTGACAAGGCAGTTAATTTAATTAAACGAGGATTGAATGATGATGGTGATGATGCTGCAAACCTCGTATTAACAATAATGATGAAGATGACGTTGTGGACCATCATTATTACCATCCTTGTGCCCGGGATGAAAGAAGCTATTGATGCCACATCACATTAATATTTTGTTACACTTTGTCACTTTGACGAAGAAAGCTTTCAACTTTTCATGGGTAAATGTTGGCTGACATACAGCTTGCATTTATCCCAATGCCAGCCAAAGAGCAGAACTGACAGCTTAACTACCTTTTGACTTGACTTTATTATGCAATTTCACACTTGGCGAAATCTCGAAAGACACTACATTATAACCCAGACCCTGTTCTCTATTTATTTTCCGTTCTATTTCTGTTTTAATGTCGCCTCGTGCTCCCGCGACTGCTGCTGTTGTTCCTGCTCCTGCCTGCCCCCAATCACCATCAGTGAAAGTATCAAATTGAAAATCGATGGCAGTGACGATGAATGGCCCTATTTGCACTTCGCTCGTTTTACGCCCCACAACAATGCCATCGTTCTAGTTTACAATTACGACATTTACTACTGCCAGGGGGCGCGGTCACAATTTGTTCATCGTATAACTCGCGATGCCATACCGGGTGTTGTCTTCAATGGCATACCCGACTGGCTGTATGAAGGTAAGTTGCAAGACAAAATAATGTGGTTACAGACTGGCAGTCTGGTTGGTTGTTGGGTTACAGGGTGGTTGGTTAGAATGCTGATTGCAACAGTAATAATGCACTGTTGCCCATGACGGTGGCTGACAGTTGTCTCTTAAGAAAATTGATTTCAAATTGAATTTCCTGTTTGTGTTGGCATACACTTTTCAAACTCTATTAGCACTCTAAATGGAATAATAAAGAAATAAAAAGGCTAGACAGTAGTGACGAAATAAAAGGTTTCCTTTATTTTCCAAAACAGTTTATATAGCTGGGGAATCCTCATCCATTCTCAAAACATGAGCTAGCCAACGTAGACGCTGCAGCTCGATACGTGTGACTATATCGATGTCCGGCATGTGTTCGTCATGCCAAATTGTACTAATCAGTTGGTGCATGCTCCTGATCAGCGTCTGAGCACCGGCTTTGAATAGTCCGGCTGGTAATCCATCGGCACCTGTTGCTTCCTTATTCTTCCAGACGATTAATTGCTATTCTGAGCTTATCATGGCTAGGTGGTATACAATTTATATCGCGATCTCTAATCGTATATCTTCTTCACCGTTACTATTTGATACCAGAAGCTTTGCAAAATGCCCCTACCAGATCCTGAACACGCTATCTGTGTCTGTCACAAAGTCGCCTTCTTCATCCCTACATGAGGATATGGTGTTTAACTTGTTGGTGAAATTTCCGGACTTCATCCTGACTCCTGTACATCCCGATTTGCTCACGCTGACGTTTTTCTTATTCCTTCGTAGTTTATTTTTATTTTTTTTTTTTGAAAATACGTTTCTCCTCTTCTCACCATAATTCTCTCTCACATTGCGCGTTGCTACTGACACCCAATAACATATTTTTATACCCGCACATCAAAAAATGGGTAGTCGATGATGTATTCAAACTGTCTCAATGGGAGTGAAAAGTGGCTTCGACAATTGTTTTGAAAGAGGAGAATACTTAAAAATTAATAACACTGTGCTACAAAATAACAAACAATATTTTTTCAGGGGTTCTAATGTACCAATTCTGTTTAGTTGGAGTCCCTGGATCACGAAAATACCTTTGGTTTTTCTGGGTCACTTCGAAAATTAATTTTATAACGGTAAATATAGAGAAAAACGTGGTTTCATGAATTTTCCATTTGAAACTTGAATAACTTATTTACTTTATAACGGATTTATATTATTCTTTTTTTCTTTCGAAGAGTACAATTTTTCCTTTCAAACAAGATATATATTTGGTAAATCGGTTTAGTATTGGCTGAGTTACAGCGGTTGAAATGTGAAAAAATACGCATAAAATGACAAAATTTATTTTTCTTCGGACTGTACGATGAAATTATGATATCAAGCCATATAAGTTTTATTATATTACGGGGAAGAAAATTAAATTAGCTTTCGAAAATGATAAAAATCAAAAAAATCGGTTAAAAAATGGATGACTTATACACATTTTTGTATTGATTCTATGGATATTCTCTAAAGGAAATATGGGTCTGTATCGTTTCCTGTTAAAAACCGTTATGTTTGTAACAGGCAAAAGGAAACGAGATAGACCCATAGTTTCTTTAGAGAATATGCATAGAATCAATACAAAAATGTGCATAAGTCATCCATTTTTTAACCGATTTTTTTGATTTTTATCATTTTCGAAAGCTAATTAATTTTCTTCCCCGTAATATAATAAAACTTATATGGCTTGATATCATAATTTCATCGTACAGTCCGAAGAAAAATAAATTTTGTCATTTTATGCGTATTTTTCCACATTTCAACCGCTGTAACTCAGCCAATACTCAACCGATTTACCAAATATATATCTTGTTTGAAAGGAGAAATAGTACTCTTCGAAAGAAAAAAAGAATTATATAAATCCGTTATAAAGTAAATAAGTTATTCAAGTTTCAAATGGAAAATCCATGAAACCACGTTTTTTTCTATATTTACCGTTATAAAATTAATTTTCGAAGTGACCCAGAAAAACCAAAGGTATTTTCGTGATCCAGGGACTCCAACTAAACAGAATTGGTACATTAGAACCCCTGAAAAATTTTCGTGTCGCACAGTGTAATTAAACCCTTTTTGATGATAAATATTCGTATTTTTTATTATTAGACCAGAAATGTAGTAGCCACCCGTCAAATAATCAATTGATACCAACCAACCGACCTAAATATCAACTTAATTTTGTTTACATTTCATTTTCGATTTATTTACCTGCTAATAACCTTCCTTCTTCTTTTCCATGTCCTTCTGTAGAAGAAATTCTAAATGCCAATAATGCAATTTGGCTATCACACGATGGCCATATGATGTTGTATGGCTCGTTCAATGATTCGATGGTACAAGAACAACATTTCGCCTGGTATGGGACCACCAGCAGTAATGGTCGCAGTCCATCGACCACCTCTTCAGGTGCTGGCAGTCATCCAAATGCTAATTTATATCCGGAAATACGTTCATTGCGGTAAGTAAGCGAGGGTTTCCGAATAGAAGAGAGCGCGAGAGGGAGATGAGAGGTGGGTGAGGAAGTTTACATATGCCACACAGCTGCCATAGCTTGTAAGGAATTTCATTAAATATTCATTAAGCAGTTGTGTAGTTGTTGTAACTGAACAACAGGATGTACAAGCTTTCAATAAAAGATAACAAGTGTAATAGATAATTTATTAGGAGAAAGAAACGAATTGGGACCACTTGGACTCAAGAGATTAGAAGACAAAAGCAAAAGCAAGCAAAAAACATCGGGTGAAATATCAAAGAATTTTGTTCGGAAATACATCTCAAACTCTTGACGCTATATCAATATCGGTAGTATTGCGAAGATCTGAACCATTTTTTAATAATTTTCGATATTTCAGTTTATTGTTTCTTATTTTATAATGTCATACTGGATTGGGTGGGCTTTTAAAATTTAGATTTTTTAAAAACACCTAAATATTTATTAAATACTACATTTAGTTTTCAAAATTTATATTTTCAGATATCCCAAGCCTGGAACTCAAAATCCAGCTATAACACTTCGAGTGGTTGATCTAAAAGATCCGGAAAAATTACACAGGGATGTTCAGCCGCCAAATATACTTCAAAATGAGTAAGTTTACACCTTCTAAAGACAAACAAAAAATATATATATCCACGGCTCGCTTCAGACCATTCAGTAGCAAAACTAGAGCTATTACAACAACATTACTATAATATTTAAAAAATATTTGTTTTTATTTTTCTTTAATACAATCATGGCTTCCCCAACTCCACCAGAGAGTATTATTTCACCAGCGCCAATTGGGTTAGCGAATCCGAAATCAGTGTGGTATGGCTAAATCGACCACAAAATATTTCCGTTGTAAGCGTATGCAAAGCTCCCATGTTTGTGTGTGTTGAGGTAAGTTTACTTAACCCCTCATCCACCGCCTTGGTGGGGGGGAAATCATTAAATACAACGATAGGGTCGTGCTTGATAATAGCTGCGATGATTATCAAGGCGATAATAGTTCGGCCAGAATATAAAATTGATTTATTTTTTTTTTTGTTTACACAGACACATCGTGTTAGCGGTGATGGTCGTGGCTGGGTCGATACGGTCTCTGTTCCCCTTTTCGCTGCCGATGGTACATCCTACATCTCCATATCACCGTTGCGTGATGGCAATTCGGGATATTTCCGTCATATCGTGCACGTTAATGTGGCCAAAAAGCGTGTCTTACCCCTGACACATGGCCAGTATGAGGTGAAACAACTCCTGCATTGGGATCAAGTTAACAACTGGATGTTAGTATTTAGCCCTAGGTCAGCATAACATTTTATCGTGTCGTTAATAAATGATTTCCCTTTCCATTAGCTATTTCCTTGGTATCCCAGAGAGATTACCCTCCCAACAACATTTGTACAGAGTATCAGCGGTGCCGCCACGCCATGGCTCACCTTTGTTTGCTCCCGAATGTATAACCTGTCCGACACCCAAAAATGCCGATGGTTCGTATAATTACGAGGCCCACACAAAGCCACCACCAAAATTGGTTACCGCCTGGGATGATGATTGGGAAAATTCCGAAGAAACTCCAGCTGTGGCAAGTCCTGCATTACCGTTGGAACAAAAACACCCAAAGGCGGCCAAAATTGCCGAGGCTGCCAGTGAATGTCTGTATCACAATGCCAAATTTCCACCCAGTTATCAGGCGAAATTTGTTCTCATCGATTGTTTGGGTCCTGTGGTGCCCACCTCAAGTATTTACATATTGAATTCTGGCACAACGGAACAGAACGCCAATAGCAATGGTCAGAGCAATGGAAATGCTAAACCACGTCTACCCTTGGAACTGCTGGTGACAATACAAAATAACACCCGGTTAAAGGAGAAAATGGCACGAACTGCCATGCCTCAAGTCAAAACATTCCCCGTTATGATATCTGGAGGCTATCATGCCCAAGTAAGGCTCTATTTGCCACCAGTGCTAAGGGAAGACGAAATAACCAAATATCCAACCATACTGCATGTGTATTCGGGTCCTGGTACCCAATTGGTGACAGATAAATGGCATGTGGATTGGAATACCTATTTGGCGGGAAACAAGGATTACATAGTCATAGAAATTGATGGACGAGGTTCCTCGGGCCAGGGCTATCAATTGTTGCATGAAGTCTACAAACGTTTGGGTACCGTTGAGGTGTCCGATCAACTAGAGGTTAGTGAATATCTGAGGGATAATTTGCATTTCATAGATGGTCGACGTATGGGTGTATGGGGTTGGAGTTATGGTGGTTATACTGCAGCATTGGCCCTGGCGGGAACTCAATCGATTTTCCAGTGTGGCATTAGTGTTAGTCCGGTGACCAATTGGAAATTATATGGTAAGCCAAAATTTCTATGAAAATCTGCAAATCATATACATAGGTAGCGATGTTTAAATTATTTTTCAGACTCCACCTATGCCGAACGATATTTAAGTTTTCCCAATGTCACCGACAACTATAAGGGCTACGAAGAAGGTGATCTCTCCAAATATGTGGACAATTTAAGGGACAAACAATTCCTCTTGATTCATGGCACCGCTGATGACAATGTCCATGTGCAGCAGTCGATGGTGCTGGCGCGAGCTCTCACCAATAAAGGTGTCCTCTATAAACAACAAATTTATCCCGACGAGGGCCATCAGCTGTCAGGTGTTAAACGACATCTTTATCGTTCCATGACTGCTTTCTATGAGGAGTGTTTTAAGAAATTGGTAAGCTAATGACTCTGTTCTCTTCTCCTCTATGTACGAATATTAGAATTTTTGAACACAACCTAATTTGTTCTCAACTATTCGGCTCTTTCTATATATTCTGTATATTATTCCAACATCAATATTTCTTTTCGATATTCAATTCTTTCATATCTTCGCCTAACAAATAACACTCTTCACAACAACTACAACTATATCCAACAACCACTACTAATACTTGTTCAACAATCGCTCACACATTTGACCACTATCACCACCACTCTGTAACACCAACCAACCAATCAATCACAAACGATCGTCAATCGCCATTAATCCTTATAGCTTGATCAGCAGCAGGCTAATCAAACCGATTACTCGGATTTTTTGGACTTTCATAGCTTTTATACATAAATTAATGTTCGTAAACGTAACGTAACCTTGATGTAGCGTAACGTAACGTTCCCGTAAAAGAGCACCATACCCTTATGTACAGTTTCTAACCAAAATAAACAAACCAAACAACTAACATTACCACCAACCAATCAACCAACCTACCACCTACCGAACTTAAAAAAATAATAAAAATAATCCACTGTGTATACAACAAAGTGACCACAATCAACTACCAACACCACCACCATCACGACCACCAATTTAAAAAGGTATCCCAACCAAATACCATCAACAATTGTGTATAGCAAATTAAAGATAATAAATTTATTTATTTCCGTTCAACCAAAACAAAAAATTAAAATTAACAAAAAAAAAAGCTTTAAGGAAAAAATCCAATGTGCATTAATGTTGTTGTTTGCTCTAACGTTTACGTACGATTTTTTGTATGTCTGTCTGAGTGTATCTATGTGTGTGTTATTTTCATATTATTTTTTTATATATACTTTCATTGTTTTATATGTTATAGGTGTTATAATTTAAATGGGCACAGATTGTGTATAAATGTGTGTGTGTGGGGGATTTATATACATGTGAGCATAAAAATATAGGCAGGAAAATTAATGGCTAAATTTCATTTGATCTTTTGGGTATTCGTTATTTGGGAAAAAGAAATTTGAATTATTTAAATACATTTTAGAGGACCCCAGCTACTATTAAAGGAACTAAGTAGGCCTAGAATCGTTGTATAATTTTTTCGACCTAAAGTTGCATTTTCAAAGAGTTTTAAAAGCCACAATGAGGTGGACAAACGTAAATTAGTTAACGATTTAAAATACCAACATTTAAAGACGTTTCGGAGGACTAGCAACTGGATTATTTGAAGATATAACTGGAGGTACAAGGGTTTATAATTGCCCAAAAATATAAAGGTCCCATACGGTTGTTGTTGTTGTTTAATGGTAACGTCATAATGCCTCTCTCATAGAGGTCCTGCTCTCTATTTGCAAAAAACTCTAGTAGTAGATTTTCACAATCCTCCGTAGATGCCAATTTTGTATTATTAAAGAAATTTTGCAATGCAAGAAAAGATGATAATCACTTTGTGTCAAGTCCGGACTGAATTAAAACTTCCCAACCAAGCTCCTGAAGTTTCAGGCGAGTCACTGTATATGTGTGTGGCCTAGCGTTGTCCTGGTGGAACACGACACCCCTCCTGTTGGCCAATTCTGACCGTTTCTGGTAAATTGCTATCTTCAAACGGTCCAGTTGTTGACAGTAGAGATCAGAATTTAGAATTTGGTCATATGAAAGCAACTCATAATAAATAATCCCTTCCCACCAAATGCATAGCAGAACCGTCCTGGTTTGGCCACCGTTTGAGGTGATTCACCGCTCTTTGACCACGATAGTTTTCGGTAGTTAAATTCCATATAAAAAAAATTAATTCTAAAATATATAAAAAAATATAATGACAGACTGATTGACACCTAAATCGCGAGCTACGTATATTTTTAGTCAGTCTCTTCTTTGCCCTCCTAGGGAATCTAGTTTGACATTTATAAACGGACATTTGAACTGCCTATATGAGGTTCGTTGAACAATATTTTTGTATCTTATATTTGTTTTTTTAATTGTCTTTAATTTTTAACACACAAATCAGCCTATTAATGATAACTATTTATGTCGCTGTTTTTAACAACAGGAATAAAGTCACCATTATGTTTTCCAATTTTTAAGAAAATATTAAACTATTTCCGCTACAAACAAATACATTTGCTAAAATTGTTAATATATCTTCTGAGAGCATTCAATTTCACCAGAAAACGCATTTGTTCGTTATTGTAACAGATTTTGTTTTGCATAAATGTGACACTAACACACACACACTTACACACAACATATATGCCTACAATTTTGCTTGATATAAATGCTGCTTCAGATTTTTTCGTTTCAAAATGCCCAACATACATAAAACAATGCAACAAAATAATACAAAAACACATTCCAACTTTCACCTAAACTAAGCAAGAAAAAAAAAACAAAAAATATTTTTCAAAATATCTTAATGTTGTTCTTTTATGTTACAAAAAAAAATAAAAAAAAACAAAACAATGTGCCTGATTTTCTGTGTTCTTAATGGCATACACATACATATATTTTCCATCATTTGGTAATATTTTATGTGTTTTTTCTCTCCCTCCTCCTCCTTCGCCTTTATAGGTCCCACCTGAATCAAAGGCCGGATTGGGAAATGGTGGTGATAATCAACCGCAATAAATCTTTCGATAAGGAACACCATGAGCATGGAGTAAAGAAGGTTGCACCCACCAACAAAACTTCAATTTATTACTGAAATTTGTGTTATAACAAATGAAAAAAACAAAATTTATAAAACAGCATTGGAAAGCTATGAGCCAGCCAGCAAACCAACAACACTTCAAGCAAAATCAAATTTTGAATTGAAATTTATAGAGCTGAAACAAGTAATCAAATCAGAGAAATAGCTATTAGCAGCAACAGCAGCAAGCCAAACACAGCCTCCGCCATTATGTGAATGTGAAAATAAAACAACAAAAAAAAAACACAAAATATGGTTGTGAATATTTTGAACAAGCACCTAAAAATATGCAACAATTAAATGTATACATACACACACATTAACAGCCAATAATAACAACTAAAAGCATGCAATAATGAAAAAAGCTAACAACAACAACAACAGCAACAATAACAACAATTCCCCTGACATTGCAATGCAACCTGATATGAAATGCCATGAAACCTGGAGCTGGTAGTAACAATAACAACAAGAATAGCAGCAGCGACAAGACCGGTAGCAGCTACCACACAACACTTAGGGCAATAACCAAAATGAAAATAACATTAAAAAATCCATTAACATGAATTGAATATTACCACAAAATGTGAACAGTAAAATAATGGCGAACACAAAGCTAAATTCAATTAAAACAATAACCAGGTCAAATACAGTGGTCTGATGTTGCCAAAAACAAAGTTATAATTTTGACAAGGTAATCGAATAATTATTTGTTCATATTTTTCAAAGTTAGTAGAAGGTAAGACATTTCTGGAAGGGCATGTGGAATCCTAGACAAAAATTTGTTGATTCTTTAAGATCTATTGTTTGGCAGTGGACTTACATCACTCTCGGGGTCTGTGGAAAAAAGGATTAAGACAGGTTATTCCATCTATATTTAAAAAAATCAGAAAATTTTAATAAATTACTGACATTTTTCAGTTCTTTCACTCGGTCAGTTCAGAGCTAGCTTTCCAATCGATTGATCCTTCGATCCCTTTTGGTCTAATAGACGGTGGGAAATTGTGATAGACTCTGTGATCCTATTTCTGTTCATACTATTCGTGTTCATTTTATTTAGGATCGAAACCATAGCCTTTTTTCTTTAATTATTGCACCGTTAGGAGAAGAACATTTTGAAAATTGGGAATTATACAGAATTCCCTACCAACTACCACTGAAGTCTAAGTTTGTGCTGATCCATATTCCGTGTCAGGGCAATATTTAGCGATATTTGCACTGTCTTGACCGATTATAGGTCAAAAGTTCCACTTTCTAATCATGGCATATTTTCCAAATCTTGTTTCCCGAGGCTAATATTTAAGCCATAAAATATAAATTTGTTCACTTTAGGTTTGGGTTGATTTAACTCTCTGAATATTGACCGATTATCATCTAAGCAGCCGTTCTAAGTAATTGGTCATATTTGTAAAAATATGTGATGTGATAATTACGTCTAGAGCGACTAGAAAATCTGACAAAAATAAAGTTTCCGGTTCATTATAGCCCCTAAATATCATTTCAACATCACCGAAAATTATAGGCGTCGCCCTCAGCAACGTACACAGGATTTCATTTCGGGGGGGCCTGGTAGTACAAAATGAAAAAAATCGCTGTTGCAAACATAAATTTACTGTGAAAAAAATTAATTTCGGGAGGGGCCCGGGCCCCCCGGGCCGCCCCCTGCGTACGTCCCTGGTCGCCCTTGACCATAACCGGAAGTTCATGTAAAATTTCAAAACGACCAGCGCGACATTTCCGCCCTCAAGTGGGGTAATAGTAATACTAAAGAATACCTTTAAATATTAACGTATAACTCCCCCAGCATAGTAGATAGAAGTGGTATCAATTTAATGGTCAACCACTGGGTCCATTTGACCCGCTAAATATTGACCCATATTGATCAAAACTGTCATGGCCAGAACCTTCTCTCTGTATAAAATTTCCTGGTGTTCGGGACATAATTGTGGCCTCTAGAGCGATTAGAAACCCATTTCATTCATTCATTGGCCAGAACCCATCCTATATGCAAAATTTCATGACGATTGGTCCATAACTGTAGCCATTATCGTTTCTACAAATTATAATGGACAAACGGACGGACACACATGTCTAGATCGATTCAGTTATTCGAGATATGACGATCGGTACACTTTGGGGCTGCACAAAGCTATAATACCCTGACAACATGGTTGTGTATTCTATAAAAATTTTTAAACTTAAAAAATAGATGACAGATGATGATAGATGATATTTAAATATCAGGCGTTTGGTACACTTTAACGTTTTTTTTATATATGGCAGATTTCGCAGAAAGATTCTGATCACATTTGTTCCTTAATAACCCATTTTGAATTCAACGTCCATTTTCAAGATGAATCCACTGTAATTGGACCACCGTGCGTGCCATTTGTGTGTGTATGTAAAAAAAAAAAAAAATATAACCTACAATGCAAATATTAAGTGCAATAAATAATCAAAATTAAATAGCAACAGGACATTTCCACAAAATCCTCAGTTTGTATGCCAGAGCAAATAATCTCCAAAACACATTCATATGCATACACATATATGTACATATGTGAGTTTTAAAACTATTATAAACGTTATTACCAATGGAAAAAAGAAAAAATAAACTGATGAGACTACACAAAAAACAATTATAGTTTGGCTCATACATATAGAAGAGTTCATTGTTTCTTCTGTTCTCCTACAACAATAATTAGAAAAACAAAACACAACCAATGTAGCTTTAAACAGTATTCGAAATAAAAAATTGAAAACTATTATGTGAGAATTAAAATGCAATACTAAATTAAACAAAAAAATGTGAAATAAAAAATAATTAATTGCTATAAATTAGCCTGCAGATATTTTGTTCATCGAAAAAATAGCAACAAAAATATTCAATAAAAAAATAATTAACAATTATTATTTAAATTCCAAAACAAATAATTAATTATATATTGTTATCATTATTATTATTATTATCAATATCAATTAGTACAAATTGTTCCAATTATTTTAATTAATTTATTTCTATCTAGTGAGTAAACCAAAAACATAAATTAAAGAAGATCAAAACAATTCTAACCCTAATAACAATACCCAACTCAGAAAACGAAAAACTAAACAAAAGAAAACGTAGATTAAACATGAAACTAAAAAAATAAAATATTACATCAAACCCCTTTTAATAGAAATATTTGATTTATATGCTCAGCTTAAAAATGTAACCTAAACTTTATAAAAAAATAATGAAGCCTGAAAGTATGCAATGATTTTTTTTCAAATTCTTCATTTCACATATGAAACCCATTAAATATTCTACTAAACCCCCTACTTAACAATTTCAGTGTTCCCATTTCTTTTTGCAAAGGATAAAACTATTTTTGTACTATTCACACGTCACCTCCATCATGTTTTGATATAAAAATTTGAGATGCCATAAATTTAGTTTGAAGGTCATATCGCAAATACATATGTATATGTTGCCATACATAAAATATGTCCAACAATCGATTGACAGTTAACTTAAATTAACCCCAATCTAAAATGGCTTAATTTCGAAGCTGTATTTAATTTATGTTGCCTTTCTTTTAACCTTTTTCTTTTGTTGTGTTGGCCTTAAGGACATTTGAAATCATTCATCTTGCCTTTTGTTCAGCACACTTGCTGGCTGGCTATTGGTGGCTAAATAGTTTAGTTGCCCTCCACAATTCAAGAGTTGTTTACCATGTTAAGACTTAATTGTCATTAGCTTTTTGCTCCTTTTTTGTGTGTGGTATACGCTCTCATACAGCCGCAAACGTTGTCTATGGCAATTTCTAACACAAAAACATACTCAAATCTTTTGTTTGAAATAATGAATGGCAAAAATTATAATAGTGGTGGTTAGGATGATGTTGAGTATGCTAAAGGGTATGTGCTGCCGCACGGAGCTTGATTGTTGTGAATGAACATCACTTGGGTTATTTTTAGATACTCAGACAGACAAATGTTGTTTTTGTAGTTTTGTATGGCCTCATTTAAAAATATTGGTATCAGCAGTATAAAGATAAACCAAAAAAACAATAAATCAAATGATAAGTAGTCTGAAATAAACCTTAATAGTTTGAGTGTCTTTTATAGAACCAATATTGACTCCCTTCCACAATCACAAAAATATGTAAAGAAAGAAACTGAAAGAAAACAAAGGAACTCATTTCTGAAAAAATTTCCCATAATTTTAATTAAAAGTGAGGTATACTTCCTTGCAATATGGTGCATCTCTCTCTCCCTCTTACTCTCTCTAAAATTACTTTGTTATGTAGCACATTTCTCACTGCTATAAATTGTTGCATACTTTTAGGCTTCCAAGTAGAATATGTTCTAAGTCCCCAAAAATAATAAATTGCGTTTAACCAAACATATTTAAAAATAGAAATATTTAGTTATTTTAATTTAAAAAAATAAACCAGATCTGAAATAATGACGTTTTAATGTAGCATTATAAGGACCAATTATAAAAAAAAATAACGCATTACCATTTAGAGTAACAAATTAGAAATTCAAATGTTATCGAGCAACATTGTAAGAATATTAAATTAAAAATGCAAAACTGTATTTAAAATAATTCTTCATAACAAAAGCTGTAATATATATTCTCAGAATACTAATTAACTTCAAACCCCTATGAATTACAGAAAAAATAAAAAAAAATCTCAGTTCTTTTTACTAAAAGAAAACACTTAACAGCCTTAAAAAAATATATTAAAAAAAAAGAATACCAATAAAACTGTAAATATTGTTATGTTTCATTAGGATTTGTGAAACTTTTTAAAATACCCTTTGTATAGAAAACAATTCTCTCTCAAAATAAAACACTAAATACATATATATAACCTATGTGATCTGCAATATTTATAAAAATTTAAGAGAAAAAAATCTTCACTTCCAATTAAATATAACCAACCCCCTTAGAAGTTTAATTCTCTATATTTAAAAAAAAAATACATTTTTGAAATTTAATAATTATTATAGTAATAATTGAATACTAATAAATAATAAATTC